CCTTCTGTCGCTATAGCTCTGACCCCCCACCCACGCCTCCCGACAGCCATCTTCCGTCCTCCGGTGTCCGTCTTGGGTTCCTTGGGACAGCAATCCAACCAGACTCCGAGACAGCTGAAAAGGCTTCAATCTCTAATCCCATCGACTGGGCCTTCTGCCGTTGGCTCTCCCTCCAGTACTCCATCCCAGCTGCATACACCAGGAGCAGAAACCCCTTCGTCCTCTTCCTTCCACATCCAGCAGCTCGCAGGATTCTCAGCTGCCGCCGGCTTAGGTCAATTCCAGGTGGGATCCCCTCCAGGTGGCTCAAGCCAGCCGGGTTCGAGCGGCATGTCCTCAGTGGGACCGAGCCAGTTCCATCAAGCACCTTCCGGATCACCCTTAGGTACGACTCAGCCCATGCAGCAGCAGCCGCCGCCGCAGCCGGCCCTTTCCAGCGGTGGATTTGGGCACTTCCAACAAGCCACAACTAGCTCCCCATCAACATCACTCACTCAGCTCTCATCAAACTCACCCCCTAGTCTTCTCAACCAGTTCCAGCCCACCACGAGACCACTGCAGGGGGGACAGTTACAGCAGCTCTCGGGCAGTGGGACTTTGGGGGGAATGAATCACTTCCAACCCCCCCCTTCTTCCAACTCTCCATCCTCCAGCCTAAGCCAGCTGGCACAGGCCTCTGGTGGGCCGTCCTCAGGCCTATGCCAAACACATCCAAGTGCATTAGGATCTTTAACTGGAACGATAGCCCAGCTCCACCAAGAGCGGCCACCTTTTGCCTCCATGTCTCCACTCCAACAGTCCGGTGTCGCCTCTCCCTGTTACACCCCTTCTGGCCTTAGTCCTCCTAGTCAGAGCCCAGTGGCAACAAGAACTTTTCAATGTGGCCCTTCTGGGGCCTCAGGCTCTCACGGATCTCTGCTCCTGCCTCAGACCGCGAGCCCACCTCCGCAGATCCTGCAGTCCAAGAGCACGCCGCCAGTGCCACCGGGACGTCTGAACCAGGACATCAAGTTGATTTCTGCTTCCCAGCCATCTTTGCCCCAAGAGCTGGCTCAGACACTGAGCCAAAGTTCTTCTCATTCCTCTAGAGAATCTGTTTCCAGCTTCTCTCCTTTTCCTGGTGGAGGGACTGGACTTCTTGGGAAGCCTTATAGCTCAATTCCTGGGCGTGTGACTTTACCACGTCAGATGTCCTCAGGTTCTTTACCACATCCGCTGGTGTTCGGGGCCAGTGCTGCAGGCGCTGCTTCTCTGACTGCTGGGGGGCGGAAAGAATCCATAGTGCTCACAGGGGATCTGGAACCCGTCAGATCCAAACTGCCCTCCAATTTGTGAGGACTCCTTCTGAGAGCTGGTTATGTCAGCCGTGCAATTCAGTTCCTGATTAGACTTTCATGAATCATTTTTTTCCTTTTCTTCCCCCCCCTTGCCCTTTTTTCTCCATTTCTTTTGTTTAGGTTTAACTGTGATTAGAAACAAACAAACAAAAAAACCACATGAAAAACAACAAAAAAAGAAGATAACCAGGTATTCTTAGAGCTATAGATTTTTGGTCACTTGATTTTATAGAATATTTTAATACATGGAACAAAAGGATATGAGCAAATTCAATCCAACGAGGTAACGCACAGACAAGGCGTGTGCCTGAGCTGGAACATACGAATGATCAGCCATAGAAGCCACCAAAAAAGGTTTTCCTGTTGAGACAAAGATCCGAGGTTGACATGGGCCGTGAAAGGGAACGTCAGGTCAGGCCTGTAGCCGGTGTTTTCGGAACAGCTCTGGTTGGCCTCGGTTTTGCATTGCTTTGCACCAGCTGTGAACCTGGCCCGCAGCACCTAGATGTGGGGGGACTTGGATGGCTCACTGCACGCATCGGAAAGTTTCACTTCTGCCCAGGTTTTTCTCCTGTGATCAGCAGGTTGCAGAGGAAGGAAGAAGAGGGGCGAGTTCCATTAATGCAGTCCCCTCTAGGGATTTCAGGAGGCCTGAGTTTTTGTCTGGACTCCATCTGAAGAAGATAAAGGTGGTGACCAAGAGATGGACAGGCCTGACTTTAGATGCTTGTCTCTTTCTTATTCTGCTGATGCTCTAGTGGGAACAAGAAACAATCCCTTGTAAGTCACAGGGAAGGCAGTAAATATCCCCTCTGTGGTTTCGTAGGTGTCATGGATGTGGGTTGTGGGAGAAGTCCTGTCTAGAGAGACTCAGCCAGCAGAAGAGCCCGAGCCTCAACCTCTCCATGCTTTGGAAAGCGTGTGTGTGCTGCCTTCCAGGTTGGGGTGTGCAAAGCAAGGGGAGGGATGAAGAAAGAAACAGCACTTTAACGTTCCCTCTCTCAGTTTTCATGTCTCAGTGTCCATGGGCTGACTGCTTTGAAGAGAGCTGGGTAGAATGAGATTGAAAAGTGGGGTGCAGTCACCCCAGCCCTCTTCCTCCTTAGCCCAGGGGAATTTGAGCTTTGAGGCACCGAGGGTGATACTGGTGCCAAGCCAAGAATCCGCCAGATTTTTGCAACTCTGTTTATACCGTTAAACCAGATTAGACCAGAAATTTGGCCAGCCGTGGTCCATGCTTCTCCTCTGACGGGGGAATTGAAATCGTTTGCTTGATTTCACCAGCAATAACAGCCTGCACCTGGTTGGCTTTGGGCTCGCCCCGCAGTTGCAGCATCACCGGACACATCTAGGGCCTGGCAGGCACCTTGAGCTGGATTTTTTGGGCTCCCCTGATTTAAGGCAGTCAAAGAGGGATGAAGACAGTAAGGGGCCATCAGGTGTACACAGCGCTGAGAAGCTACAGCCTTTACCTCTAGAGCAAATGTCTGCTTTTCTTTTACTTTGATCTTTTCTTTCTCTTTTCGTGTTTCTGTAGGCCAAGAGGTGTCTCCAGCCACCTCACCGTAAAGAGTCAGGTGCTCAGTTTTTCTAACACGTGTTAGAAACACACGTCCAGCCTCCCTCTGTTTCCAGCTACCATGGGCTCCCTCCAGCCCTCAGAGGGAAAGCAGGACTTCATGCAGCAGTGCCAAAAAACTTACTACTCTCACAGTAATGATACAGGTCCATGTAACCCCCTCTCTTTCCTCCTCCCACCCCCAACTCTCTCCCAAAACACTGGCTGACAGTTGTTTTTTATACCGAATTGTTTGCAAAACTCTTGACACGTGCCTGTATCTGGAATGTTGCTGCAAGTGTTACTGGGCACTCCTGCTTCAACGTGCTTTGGTGGCTCAGAATTCAGATGTAATCAGCTTTGGTCTTCCTTAAAGGGTCAGGGGAACTCTGGAAATGTTTTTTCTACTAGCTACATACAGCTATATATGTGTGAGTGTGTGTGGTGGAAGGGGTGCGTGTGTGTGTGTGTGTGTGTGTGTGTGTGTGTGTGTATAGATTTTATATATATCTCTATATATACACACACGCTTTTCTATCTATAGTATACAGTTATACACATATGTAGTCTATTTATGCACATGTGTAAGCACGCACACACACACATATATTTATATATATATATCTCCTAGTTTTAAAAGACATGTCAATTTTGACCCTCCTGTAGGACTGAGTGGCAGGTGATAATTATAATACGTAGATCCTGCTTTTCCAAATATGTACAGGTTCATCTTGAAACAGAATCAGTTGGCGGAATTGAAGCAGACTCACAGACCCTCTCATGTTTTCAAAGGTATGAGGCAGTTCCTAGAAGGAAGACTCACAATATCCTTTTAAGTTTTATATTTGGGTTAGCCATCTTTTTTCCCCATGTGCTAGAGGGCCCCTAGAATGAGCATCTCAAGAGGTTGGGAGCTGAGCTGTTTGGGTCTGGAGTATCTGATATAAGCAGGTGGGAAAGGTCTTCAGCCCAGCAATGCCAAGCCCTCATGGATGACTGTCCCGTGACTGCTGCATTGGTACTTGAATCTCAACAACCCTGTGGACACTCAGACAAATGGAGGTGCACAGAAACACCCTGAGGGCTGCCCCTGGTAGACGTGCGTTCCATCCACCAGTCTGGTGAACATCCTTCTTCGGTTGGGTTCCTTTGCTTTGTTTTTCACGAGGATATTGTTTGATTTTCCAGTTCTTAGCAGTGCAGTAGCCAATATTGAGTTATTCCGACTGGACCCCAGTCAACACTAGGCTTGTCTCAGTAGGTGGAACTATATTTATTATTATTGTTTTATTTTGGGGGGAAGGGAGGGAAGAGTTCTAGGGGTGGGGTTTGCAATATAAAACACACAATAAAAACCTTAGTAAATAAAAACATGAAAAACTCATCCCTCTGACTTGCTGTCTGCTTTAAGCGTTGAACTTCAGGCAACACGTGATGAGGTTTGAAGAAGGAAAAAAACTTTGGGTGCGTTTACCTGCTGCCACAACTCCACCTCACACGTTCTTGTAGGAGGTTTGTATTAAGCCGTTGACAGTAAAAGTTTAAAACTTTTGCCTACGTTTGAATTTTTAACACTACGAAGCAGAAATCTGGTAGTTGTTTTGCAAATGTGTGTATGAAATAGCAGACATGGAAACTCTGGCTGACTTTGTGATCCTTGCAGAAGAGCCTAAGGAGCCCTACCACAGGATACAGACCTGAACAACTTGGAATAGGGACTGTCACAGCGGACAAAAAGCAGGAGAAAGGAAGTAGCCTTTTCGAGGTCTCAGACCAAGCTGGATGGTGATGCCAAGGTCAGGACCTGATGTATTTTAGGAAGGTAAAACTAGCCTCAACTCTGAGCTTTCATTTCACTCCTGTGAGATCCTCTTTGAGTCTTTGTCCAAATACACTCTAGGAAGTATGCATAGAATTGATGATTTGGGGCAGTAGCTCACACAGGAGCTGCACGGCCTCGTGCCCTTTCTTTATGGCCAAGAACACACAGGGCAAAGCAGCCCAGCTGCTGGAGTGTGTCCTGCAGCCTGTGGCGGTGAGGTGTAGCTAGATGCCATCCTCCCTGCTCCCTCTCCTCCAGCCAGTTGATATCAAGAGCCTCACCTCTCACCTCCATGCTGTGCCTCACCTCTGCCTTGCTGATAACCTTCTCTGAAATCTCATTTTCTTGGTACCTTCTCATCCAATTTGGCCCTCTGACATCTTGCCCAGCCTCTGAAAGACCTGAATTTGTTAACACGTCACCAGCGTGTCTTTCCCACTAAGATTAGAACAAGGTCTAGGACCTTCTTTACCAGGATTCCCAGAGATGTCAAAAAAGAAAAAAAAAGGAGCCCAAGGGCCATGAATAAAATCAGTATTTGGCAGAGAAGGATGCACAGACACACACACGCTCCTGCTGACACGGCACGGCAGGGGCACGGTCCAGGCAAGACACTCTTTTTCTCTTCCCTCCTGCTTCTGGTGGTACAGGAAAATGGGAGACCCTCCATCAAGCCTCTGACCTTGCCTGGCTGTAAACGGGCGGAGCTGGTGAGGAAAGGGTAAACCAAACATTTTCATTAGAAAATACGATTCCCCTGAAATGCGATGGCTCTGCCCTGGTGGGTCAGTTGTCCCGAAGTCAGTGAGGGAAGTTCAGGCAGTAAAACCTTTGTCTTGCCTTTCAAAAGCAGTGTCTGAGCCAGGCTTTTTTTATTTTGCATGCTGTTGCTGTTACAGGGGAGAATGGGATTGTGAGTCAGTCCTGCCCAACCAAAAATATCTTTTAAAATTACTTTTCATAGAAGATTTCTAAATTTTCAAGGTTTTCAGGCTGAAATAGAACAAAATCCAAGTTTTGAGCTTTTAAATTTCCCTGTGAAACCTGTCTTCTCCACCAGACAGATTGAAGTCACAGCCCCACTGCCATGAGCTGCAGAAGGATGGGCAGGACTGCATCAGGAGGACCTCATGCCCTTCCTGAGGGCCCAGCAGATCACAGTAACACAGTATCCATGAGGTCCTCATGAGAAACATGATACCAGAGGAGACGCAGCTTAGCTGATGATCTTTACCTCACTCAAAGCATTTAAGCACACCTAGTAGCCACATCTCTGCTCTAAGCCATTGTGGGTCAGGATGGCACAGACAGCTTTTCCCTGACCAAGGGAAAGCCCTGGCTTTACTCTCTGGACAAGCCAAAAGAAGCTCAACCAGTTGTAGACCACACTTGGAAGGGCTTGACTGGTTTAGCATACGTGCTGATGCCTCCTTGTCTTGTTGAAAGGACTTAAGACCACACTGGGTTCATGATCCTTGCACACCGGCCGTCAGGAACACACTGTTCTGATACCAGAGCCAAGTCACCCTCCTATCAATAGGGTGGTTTCTCCACCTCCTGATCACTACTACCTCCCCTGCAGTGCCTTGTGAAGACCCAGCCTGCTGGTGAGGGGTCT